TAACAAGGAACACCGATACCATTAACCCACATTACTGACTTTGCCTCTTCCCCGGAGTCTTTGTGCTTTCTTGCCGCGTAGGTTTTCATGGATCATGGTTATATCTGGACCCTGGTCCTGCCTCCTGCCGTGGTCTTGCCTGTCACCCACTGCTACTATCATTATAATTAGTGGTTGCATTGCTATTGCCGATACCGACACTGCTTTTGTTATCGTTATTATTCTACTATATCTACTTCTGCTGTTATTATCAGTCGTCGTAATTTTTCCATCCATATTCTGCTTATTACTCTCATTATATGAATCATATATGTCAAATGCATTGAATGTGTTGTAACTCTGTTATGTTGTTTATTGTGTACACATGACATCTATCACATTTCTGTCCATCCTGATAGAGGGATCCCTCCTCTGTTGCTCTCTCTAAGGTGTCTTCCTTTTTCCCTCCCTGTTAAAGGGCTTTTTTCCTGTACCGATGTAAGGGTCAAGGACAGAGGATGTTGCATTTATACAGATTGTAAAGCCCTCCGAGGCAAATTTGTGATTTTGGGCTGTACAAAATAAATCCAGTAGCTCAGTGAGAGGAAAAACAACTTGCGTGGCATACCATACTCTTTCTCAGGTTCTCTGCATCACCCACTGAATGCATGTACGTAGTTCCCATGGTGATGCATACAGTTTGCCCTAATGTTCTTGCACGGCTTTGTTTGGTGGCATTACTAACATACGGCTCAACTGGTTTGTATATATGACGTTTTTTCCTCAGCTGAGAATCTGTATTAAACATATTGGTCTCTAAACAATTCTTGTTTATGGCTCTTTCTAAATGGGAGGAAACACATTTGGGATAAGAGTTATACTCAAAAGATATTTTTTTCATCAGTGTTTGTCAGTGTGTCGGCATAAGGAAAGGTTTTGGGGAGTATGGAACTTTGGTGCCAAACACAGAGATAAAAGATGGTCAGTATTTCCTCCAAAGTTTCCTCTGTTCTTGATTCTTCTCTCCTGCTCTCTTTCACACCGGCTCCAAACCTATAATAGGTTTGATTAACCTATTATATCACCAGGCCTTGGCATGTAGTTGATGGGTAAGGGATTGGACATTCCTTGAACCAGCAATTTGGGTTGTTGGGGTTTTTCCTGCAGGGTCTTAAAACTCTCTTGCTCATCAAATGGTCCCCGATCGCCACTAAGCCTCCCCATCACCGGTGGGTTGAGGACTCATTTTGTTCCTGGGCTGGTGTGCGTTCGATCCTCCCTTCAATTATTCATCACATGCTGGCTACTGTAAGGCCCGGACTTCTGTGGTCTACTGAAGTCCTGTATACAATCATCCAGTGAATTCACAATCAGCTTATACAGTCAAGTGTTTTTGTTTGGTCTGTACCTCTACCATTTTAGTATAGCAGCCAGTCATGAATTTCAGCATGACTCTAACGAATCCTCCATCTGGACATTTTCCCAGCTGAGAGCTAACAATGCACTTCTGCAGCCTCGGCACATATGTTACGTCCGCCTGTTTGGCTAATAATTAGATTTGTTTCTCACAGTGGGGCTACAACGTGCAACAATATCTGCACTCCAGGACACATTTACATGATGTACGACAAAGATCTCAATCTTCTCTATGTTATTCTCCTTTCTGTGTGTCAGTTAATTATTGATATACAATATATATTTATATATCACTACTGCGCAGACTCTGACTCAGTCAGTGATCTGGCGGTGGAGCCGCAGAAACGATGTCCCCAAACCAATCGTAAACTGCCGAAGTCTAAACAAACATCAGCGTGATAAGAACTACCTAAAAACACAGAAACCACCTTTGTATGTGACATGTACTTTGATTAAGTACTCTGGTCGATGTCCCATTTGCTAACATGGAGGGGGCGGGGTTTATGACCCATATCGCAGTCAGCCATCAGAACGATCAATATGTTTAGCCTTCACTTCTGGCAGGCTGTAATGTCGTCCATCAATATGTACAGTCCGTGGTAAGTGGCTGTATTTAATTCTGTATTCTAAATATTAATATTCAAGATTGAATATCTTAGTCTTATCCAGACTAATCTCTTCATTGCAAGGATCTAAATTCTACATTAACCAATCACATATAGTTTAATGTAATCCACTGCATGAATGGTCAGAGGGAAATTTCATGCAATTTGCACACAAAGTGAACATTAATGAGTTGGATAAATTATTACCTCTCATCCGAAGCGCATCGAAGCATCATGTGACCATTCATATTTAGAAGTGTTACTGTCGTGTTTTTGGCTGCTACCCACTAAGCTACATTGAGAATAGAACCCTAACCCTTGCTACTGTATTCATGTCATCACTCAATCAACAACACAATGAAACATGCTTTGTAGAGCTCAGGTTTAATGGAAAAAAATGCATTTTTCTCACAGGTTATTACCAATATTGTGCAATGCAACAACATTTCTTTGTTAGTAGTTCAGACACATTTAGTTTGGATTAAAATTCCATCTATAATGTCTATTCTAAGGAAGAACACAAAAGCTCAGGAAAAGCTACCCAGATATATTCATGAGTTTTTCTAGTATCAAAATCACAAGATACACAGTAATGTTAATTGCTATTATACCTTCTATGATGAACAAGACATGAATGATCAAACCTGTTTTTCTTAGTGTAACATCTATCACTCCTAAAGTCAATGCTGCGTGTTAAGTCTAAGGAAGCTATTCCACAATGTAGCACTCAGTTAGATGACTTAGGAGTTGATCCAAAGTGAAACAGACGTTACATAAACACATTACTTTCTACTCTTCCCAAAATACAATCTCAGCCCCTGGAGGTGTCAGGGCAATCAAAAGCGGCATCAATCCATCATCCTCATCAAACTCAATCAAGCTCCCAACTGAACCCTGGCAATCTTCACAGGAACCGACAAGAGCAGCGGGGAGGGCACAACAATGCTTATTAACAATTTGAAGGGGGGGGGGGGGGTGTCTTCTTTTCTCAACGGTGACACACAGCTTCATTTGGAAAATAACAGTGAAGGGTTGGCGTTCAAAGATCAATCTCTTGATTTGTGTAATTATGTTCTCAGGAAATGGAATCGGGGGCTTTAGTGAGCCAGCACGACAAGACAAACTGCGTGTGTTGCTCGCTCGCTCAACTCCAGTGTAATCTACTTGTGCTAATATGAATTCTCATTGAAGAGTCTCTTGAATGGCTGAGGTTTGTCTGCTGTCTCAAAGTTGCCGGGCACCCACAAAAAGATTGCCAAGACTATCCTTGTATCCTGTGCTCAACTCCTTAAATTTTACAAAAAAACATTGTTAGTTCTCCTACTTTCTCCAATACTCATAAGGTATATATAGTAGTTTAAATTTAAAGCGGCAATTGTCGATATTGTTCATGTTAATAATGGATGGAATGACTGTGTATTGTGAAGACTCTCGTAGTGACAAACCCACAAAGAGTTGAAATGTTTCAACTCCGGCGTTGAGATGTTTCTCCTGTCATCACTGACGTCCTGCCGTTGTTGAATCAGGAAATAAATATTGTAGCCGTCTGTGTTCACCCAATGCTCTACGATACCTCATATCAATACAGACTGGACCAAACTATGTGTATATATGTGTGTGTATAAACCATATGGTACAAACAATGAATAGACGCTGCCGTATTTACGTCTCTATGACGTTATTTTGAGTGTTGATGGAGCTGCTACAATGTTAGTATAGGCTAGCACCAATCGATCCGAGCTCCATTGTGAAAACAAGCATTTCAAAAGTTATTTTGCTTGTCGTCTTGCGGAGAGAACTAACAAAACATGATTCAGACTTTTTACAAATCAGCGTCATTACGTAGTTATTTCGGCATCCCTTTTATCGGTTTATTGCTGTTAAATCACAGCCAAATCTGTTTATTTGGGGTTCATACAGCTGTAGTAAACCATCCGACGTGTGGTTATTTTTTCCATGGTTGATGGCGGACAGTTGAACGGCTTCCAGGGCGATAAGCCACGCCCCCTATACGGCGCGTCTAGCGCGAATGACGCTTTTCACGCGAATGACCACAAATGGTCCCCCCGCATGTAACGCGGCGCGAATGGCGCGATTAACATTTGGTGTGAACACAGCATAAGTGTTAATGCACCACCCAGTCGCCAGAAAAGACGTTGACATTGTACATTTCTGCAAACCACGGATACATTGAATGTTGACGTTTCTGAACCATAATTACTTTTCATATAAGCCATATTCACGCTTGCAGAAACTTTGTGCAACAAAAATACTTGGTTAAAGTTTTAAAAAAGGATCATGGTTTGTGTTCAAACACTCACGTAATAACGTATTGTAACAACATAATGTGACAACCGTGAATAAACAACTGCCCTATAGCGGACTTTCTTGCGCAGCTTCAAGAAAGAAGCGTAACGTTAGGTAACAAGCATTAAGTCAATATTTAGTTTTGGTTTGAAACGGGACACAAACAGCAGTCTCCTGAGTGAAAGTCCTGTTTGTCCCTTTTGCAGCATGTTATCTGCTGTAGTCATGGATATATAAAGAGATGTGGATACAGCGTTGGAGGCGAGTAATAAAATGATATGGATCCCTTGTGCGCATAGAGCAAGCGCACAAGCTTTTCCTTTAACCTCGCCTCCCCGACGCTCTGTCTCGGTTTGTTCACATTAATGGTAGCACGAAAACAACCCTGGATTTGGTTGTTAGAGCATTTTACAATTTTGAGGACCTAATGATTTAAATAAGGAAACCTAGATGTTCCATGATTTGACTTTAAAGCCTGGCGAGCTTTCTGGGGGCTTGGCTATGCTACTCCAGTTTGCTAGTGCTAATTATAAGTTGTAATGCAAGTTGCTGTCAAACATTTTAAACTGCCTGAGCTCACGCTTCATGTTTACTAGTGATGCTTTATGTTTCAGCACGTCTCATGTGATCACAGCCTCAGCGTTTAGCTCTACAGCAGATAATGGATCTCCAATGTTGTAAGTAAGGTCTTTGTTTCCATTGTGATCAGAAATTTATTAGGAATCCATTAAGCTTCTGTCAATTTTTAGCGGAAATCAACTTGCAATTTAACCCAGCCCAGCAGCAGGATGAATTACATTGACTTGAGATGCAGTTACAACAATCGAGCAGGCATGTAATCAGGGTTTACTAAAAGTCACAGCAGAGTAGAAAGCAGAGGAGTCCTATATGAGCAGGATGAGTGGCGGACTGCAGTCCAGCAGAACACAAAGGAGCAGAGCAGTGAGCAGCCTCCACATACATCTTACTTTGTTTCTCTCCATCATCCACAGTGCTGCAAATCAATAGGCATTCACATCCATAGCTGTTAGAGACAATACCTTGAGCAGTGTCCCCTATCGTGTACATTTTACAGATCTAAATAACCATACAGCAATATTCATACACAGTACATTGCTACAGAAGAAGGTTTTTGAGAGTAAGTGATGTTTAAACAAGTACACATCAGCATGAAACAAACTCATGAATGTATAACAATTACAAAGGTGAGATCCTACTGCACCTTTAAGCAAAAGAGATAATTTGAGCACACAAGACAGCAAAAGCCATGAGGTCCATGCTCACATGAAACATGCAGTCAGGATATAATGTTTGAGAAATGTAAGCACGAGCAAAAATAAAAAGTTCTATGATTTAACATGAATGGACGTTACATTAATTTTGAGGTTGGTAAAAAATACTGCAAACAAGCAAGCAGCTTGTTTGCAGTATTTATAAGTGTGGAGTTTCACTGATTGCAGCTTAACCCTAATAATAATACAACAAACAAAAACTGCGAAGCCTCCGGAAATCAAACAAAAGGGTATCCCTGTCAAGCAGAGTGCAATGGAAATATCCTTAATTTACAAGTCAACAAGTGAGCAGAGAAAAAAAATTTGAGTTTGCATTAATAGCAAATAGCATCAACAACCAATTAGAACAGTAAAACTTCTTAATAAATATGATAAATTATACTTATAAAGCATGTTACTTATATGTTGGTTCTCTTTATAGCAAAAACCAGGAGGGTGCGATTAAACCTGTGCTGCTATTGAGGTCTGTTAGTATATTGTTAGCAAACTATGTCAAATAAATAATTTAGATTTTTTTTGTATATCACTATTGTCTAACGATAATTATATAACATGATCGCAATTCATTTGACAGTGATGCAGTGATATGCATGCTACTTTGTGTTACGATGAGTAGACTGCAGTGTGAACATTTAAGCAGTTGTATGCAAAACACTGGCACAAACCTAAATCATACTTCACAGTAATACAATCATTTATAGAAGAAAAATTGCTTAAAAAACTTATAACAGGAACCAGATAATTCAAAAAGAAAGTGTCTCAGTCCTTCATCCACTTAAAGGGCTCAAGACCAAAAACCTATTCAGTCATTTCAGATACAACAGTTCAACCTTTCATTTCAAACTCTTCCAAAGCAGTGATTATTGCTCTTTGTACGAAGCAGTTATACTATAAAACAGTGGTCTTAAGACGGTTACTAGGGGTGCACCGACAATCTTAATCAAGATTTCACTTGCACACAGCGAAGCATACAGCTTATTAATCAAACGATAGTGTTGGATCGGTACTCGGTATCAGCCGATATCTAAGGCCCAGATGTAGGGACTGAAAAATTGGATCGTGCATCCCTGGCAGTTACTAACTTCAACCATATTTAACAGGATGGCTTACATCGTCACTGGCAATAAGGAGATGTTCAAAATGCTTAAAAGGTCCCATTTTGGACCCAAATCTCTCCTTATAGAGCCCCTACGTCCTCATGGATGCATTAAGATGAATAGTGTTGGCACCTGAGTCCCCCATCCCGATTCCTCAAGCACTCCAACTCTTCCTCCAGCTCAGTTGACTTGCACGGTTCAGGAGGCAACAACAACACATGGATGTAGACATAAGCAGTGAAAGCGCTCAGCCCTCCGTGGTCATGACGCACACATTCACAGGAAGCTTGGGTATAAAGTTAGGAAGCATATGTGGATGAATGACACGCATTGTATAACTATGCTTGAAATTCCTCATCAAGGACACACACATACAATGAGTTTTACCATTGAGATGGAGCACCACAAAGGTCACTCATCCTATCTGACGATACACTTAAATCGGTACTGATAACAGCAAGTCTACTGTTCCAAATTTGACATGAGCTTTAAAACAACATTCTCCCCCAAAAACGTTCAATGTTACTTTAACATTTATACACATATATAGTTATTTATCATTAGTGTGAATATTGTACAGCTGTACAATACAATGGGGTAAGGCCTTGCTTTGAGAAAATATAACTACTTTTTAATAAATGCGGGTTAGGCCAATAATGCAGCAACAGGCTAATACTGGCCTTTGTTGTAAAATGGGTTACAATGGTCCCAGTCTCATGTGATGGAGGATCAGCCTGGTAAAGCTTTAAAAGGGCACTCTACCAATTCATTTTAGTACACATAAAGTTCAGTCCACTTTAAAAATCGAGAAAATACCCCTGATGATGTCGTAGTGTCCGATGATGTCATCTGGGTTTCTCAGCTCGGGCTTCAGACATGTTTTACAAAAAGCCTGCGCAATAAATGTTCAGAGTGTGAAAGACATGGAAATTTACCAGGCTGGGAGGGTAATAAAAAGATGCTGTCCAGTTGCATCGTGGGAAATGTAGATGATGATCAAGTGTTTTTTAAATTTTACCCATAGATCGCAACGTACTGGAAGTGCAGTACTAAATTGCTGGAGTGCACCTTTCAGTTTTTTAAAATGCTAAAATACACAAAATACACGTAATTTCAACTCTAGCAAAACTATCCTGATGTTTTAAAATGGATATTAGAGATGAATTCTTCACTGAAATGCCACAACGCGGTTTTTTTACATTCAAACTGAAACAACAATAAGGTGGTGAGGAGAAACAAACAATAGCTCTAAGGAACGTATCACCTCTACCACTCCGTTGCTACTTTGAGTGATTCAAGTCATAAATGAGAAATTCAAAATTACTCAAAAAATAGTTTTTTACGATGTAAAAAGCCTGCGACCTCTCATACGCTGTGGAAACACACACGCTAAAAAGGATCAGCGGCCAACGGCTCAAGAAAGAACCGCTTGTGTCGGCTCCAACAGCGTCAAGTGTAATGCTAAAAATGGCATGAAACATGCGTGGACACATCTCTCAGTTCGGCTACAGTTAACTCGAAAGACTATATGAAAATATAGAAGAAAAAAAACTCCGCTCTTCAGACACGCACACGCTAAAATACGACATCCCTGACAGTCCGCTGAGGATGACTCAGAGTGGCTATGAAGGCCTTGGATTCTGCTCTACAGTATGTTGTCAACAGCGAGTACAATTCTTAATATCAAACAAGGGATTTAACCTGAGTTAATACAACAGTCTGTACGAAATACTAGTACATTTATTTGTTAAAAAAAAAAGCTGTGTTAAATAGACAACTCTAAATTTGAATAAGTCTAGATTTTCACATGATAGCATGGCGACAGATGCTGGAAATCTATTCTCTAAGGCTCCAGTAAGCACTTGTTTATTTACATATAAGCTCTAATCACCTCGTGAATAATTTCCACACCTGACAAAGAAATTACTTCCATTCTCGAATAAGCCTCCATCTTAAAAGAGCAGATAGGTCGGCTGAAGGCAAAAAAAACAAACAAGGAAAGGAAGAGTCTTTTCTGTTCTCCTTTATCTGACATTCTCTCTGAACTCAGGAATCTAACTCTAGTTAGAATCTTCTGACACATTTAGGCTAGGATGATGAGTCCCTCGCTTCCCGTCCTTTTTCGCGTCCCCTTGTATTTCTCTTTTCTCAGAGAGAAAGGCAGAAAGTGAAAATGGATAAGGGAGGAAAAGTACACGGCTGGCTGAATCTACGAAAGGCCACCCTGTCGCCTCAGAGTGGGGGAAAAAAGACCCAACCGCACTGCAAACCGCTCCAGCTCTGCCGCAGAGCCCCGTCCAGGACCCTCCTGGGGTGGGCCCCTTCAACCAAATGCCCTGTCACCTTACAGTAGGCTCAGACGTGAGATAACCGCTTGAAAAGCCAACAGAACACGGTCCAGGTCACAAGAGGTTGTCGTAGTCCAGCAGCTTGGAGTGCTGGCGGCTCTTCCATAGGCGGAACAGACGGAAGTCAAAGTACATCTCGATCATCTCTTTGCCTGCAGCCAGGGGAGACAACACAGACAAATGATTCAAGATTACACAACCCTAATGAGAGACCCTGAGCTCACCTAACACAACCCACTATAGCATTCTGTGATTATTATTGTCCTAGACATTAGTAGTTTGTTACTTTAACCATATCAGTGTTTTCGCACTGGTCATTTAGGAAAAAGGTCCAGACTCAAGCCCACCTCCTCCATTGGACCCTTTTCAGTCCCAAATTGGAGAAGTAAGTGACGACTGAAATTGTGTACGCCAGAGATTATTATCAGGACACAATAGACTGTGTTCATTAGTTTGAATAAGCCCCACGATATCCAACAGTAACACCAAGCTAAAAAATACAACCTGAATATAACTAACTTATGTAGTTAGCTAACGTTAGCCAGTTACGCTAATGTTGTTAGCACGCTAACATTAACGTTAATTATCTCTCAATTTCAATTATGATTTTTGCTTCAAACGATTATGGAAACTAGATATAGTAGAAGACATGTTCTAACTCCAGGACCGGGAAAATATGCTTTGTCTTCATCAATATCAGCTCAAGGTGAGGAGCGGTTATGATTATTATCTGTAAAGCGGTTTGTGGTTTTGCTGCTTGTTGGCTGTTTCTCTGTTATGGTTTCACGGAGAGAAATTCTGAAGATATCTCGGGAATCTGTGTGTTGTTGGATTGCTTTCTGCTATCTCGGTTTGGCTGGTTAGCCTTTAGCTTTCACGTGGTAGCCCAAACCGGAGTGCGTAGCTCACGGACTCATGGCGAAAAATACGTGATATTGTGGTAAATCTTCTAGTTGACTATATTAGTTGTGTAGAATTGTGTTTGGAGGGTGTAAAAAATGGCTTGCATGATATTGTTGCCCAGACTTTGTTTTTTAATCTGTATACATGCATTATATTTGCTCTTGATAAGTGCATTTTTTCGACGGTATATGCTACTGCCTGTGGTACCGAGAGCCCCCAAATTTGGGGGCGCAGGGCTTAACAGGACAGCAGGAAATCTAGCACGCGTGAGTTTGCAAGTATTTTGCAGGTGCGCATGTTGTGCTCTTACCCTCTGCAGACAGCTCTAGTGGGGACTTGAAGTCGACCGAGGAGGGTCTCACCAGCCTCTTCAGAGTCTGAATCAGCTGCGGGGGAGAAAGAGGGAGAGACAGAGAGGAAGAGTTACTAAGAGAGGGACCGCTTCATTCCAAATGCCATCTCGGGCGTTCTGAAACAGAAAACAAAAACCAACAGGTGTGGGGAGGTCCTGCACCACTTTGATTCTGTCCATTACGGCACTGCAGCTAGAGTGCACGTGAAAAAAAAAGGTCAACGTGCCACTTACACTGCAATAGCTGAGTATAAGTGAAAGGCACTCATGGTAATGTTTTCTGTCCGTATGGAGGCATCCGTGAGAGTGGTTCTGTTTGGGCCCTGGCAGAGCAGCTTCTCACACAGGGAGGTCAACAATTTACCTGTCCAGATCAGCTTTCCACCTGTTCAAAAAATACGCTGTCTTCTTTTTATAGGGTCAGTTGTGCATGTCCATAATGACATCTCTGTAATTATGTCTACTTAACGCTATCACTGACATTAATGCTTTTCTATAACCTATGAAATACTGATATATTTTCATGCTCTGTTTGAGTTTGATCTCCTAATTTTGAATGTCTTATTTGATATTTATATATTTTTTGTCATATTTGATATCGTTTAACTATCTTGTTGTTATTTTTGTCAAATGTTTTGTCTTATTGTGCTTGTATTGTATAATTTTCGTTGAGGACCCCCCCTTGAAAATGAGATGGTACATCTCAAGGGGTTATTCCTAATAAAGAATTTCCATTCCAGTCTTTATATGGCAAAATGTTTTTTTAAGAAAATACCGCCTCACAGTTGTATTCCTCTGCCAACCAGTCAAATAGTAGTTTACATACATGTCAGTCCAGAATGTCATCACTTCATTATTTTATGCTATTAGATATTTATGCCATAATTTGCATCTTCATTCTTGAGTGATGAATTCCCTCAAGGCGTTTCTTGAGATGATATGAAAATGGGACGGACGCAAGGTCACAGTGACAGTCACCTTTGACCTCTAAAATCGAATCAGCTCATCCTGGAGTCGATGGCTGAATTCCAAGTCTCTTAAGATTGCATACACGTTTCTTCTCAAGGAAACCATGCGAGGGGAGAGGAAGCGAGGGAATATGTTGTTAGAGAAATGAGACGTCCGTTCCTCTATTGTCGGCTGATCACAGCTTGATCAGCTGCCAGTCGGCTTAAACAGCCGTAGAGATGTTTGATGTCAGTTTGTGTCAGCACATGTGTGCACTGTACAAATACTAGTAAAGAATCACACAGCTATTACTGCCAGAGCAGCAGTGTGTTGTCCATGTTACCTGTTTAACAAACACCTGCACATGAATTTGCACACAATGCATTCTGTATTTATTATTATATTTTCAACCAGATGATAAATCAGAAAACAAATGAAATGTACATTTTGGGTTCAATCTGTTATCTGTCTTCAATCTGGTATGAATCTCTGGTGATGTTGCGATGTTTCAGATCTATCCTCAGCAGCTGCAGCGTCCAATCAAATAAGTGATATCCAATGAGGGGATGTGTCGCCCTTTAAAAGCAGTGGCGGGCCGTGCATTTTATACCTGGGCCTTCTGTGTTGTCCTACTGAGCTACGGTTATTTGTTTCTATTGGTGTAATAATACACGTATTCATATTAAACCGTTTGGTACGAGGCTTACTAACCGAACAATACGTTTGAATAATACTAGTGCATTTGGAAAATGCAGAAGCTTAAATTGTAGGAAATATAATAGGCTCGTTCAACATAAGCCAGGCGCGCGCCGAATCGATCACCGGCGATCGGCGCACAATGCATGCCGGGTAGATTTGCGTCAGACTTGCTCTGACGTCATGAAAACGTGGGCAACGATAATCTCACGAGAGAGGGGCGGCCGCAGATTTTAGAGCCAGGCGCTGCAGTTGCTCTCCACTGACTGCGTGACCCCAGGGCATGATGGGAATCTTCTGGCTGTCTTCGGATCAAAGAGCTGATTGGCTCTTAGATTTTCTTAAGTGGAAAAGGTGGGCGACTGTGGTTCACTGGGTTAAGTGGGTTGTCTGGTGACCGTAAGGTCGACTGATCGATCCTTGGCTGAAACGTGTCATGTGTCCCCTTTCATAGCAGCCCACTGCTCCCTATTTACAGGGATGGGTCAAATATATAAAAAGACATCCAAACTTAAAGATCAGCAATTTTGGGGCTAAGTGTCTTGCTCAAGGACACAACGACATGCGCCTAGCGGAGCCGGGGATCGAACCGTCGATCCTCTGATTGAAGGACGGCCCTGCGCTCCACTTAGCCACAGTCGCCCAAGATCAGTTCTAGACTATGGCTGTGTGGCATATAGATCTGCGTCTAAAACCTTGTTGGGAAAACTGGATGTTTTCACTTTTCCACCTTTTCCACTAAAGAAAATCTAAGAGCCAATCAGCTCTTTGATCCGAAGACAGCCAGAAGATTCCCATCATGCCCTGGGGTCACGCAGTCAGTGGAGAGCAACTGCAGCGCCTGGCTCTAAAATCTGCGGCCGCCCCTCTCTCGTGAGATTATCGTTGCCCACGTTTTCATGACGTCAGAGCAAGCATCAAGAATATGTAATGGGGTCTTTAAGATCTTCAAGTCATACATCAGTTACCACAATTAAATACAGATTTATGGATCTAAAGACCCTAAAACTGGTAGAATAGCAGCAGCAGCAGTAATCCCAGAATTCTATTTGGAGTGTGGGAAAAGACTTAGTGATGATTTATCTGTGTTTACATGTGAGAGGATGGCCATAGTTATTGCGTTACAGTGGGTAGAGGACATCAGGCCAGAGAGTGTGGTAATTGCATCAGAGTGATGTGCAGTGCTAACGAGTTTGACATTTTGCCACTCCAGAAGCAGAGAGGATTTACTGTTTGAAATACTACAATCACTATTCAGAATCCATCAAATGTGGATGGCGGTTAATTTTGTGTGGGTCCATGTTGGAGACGATGGCAATGAGAAGGCGGATAAAGCAGCAACAAGGGCTTTGAAGAGTGGAAGAAATAACGTTAACGTAAATATAAGTAAGTCAGAAGCTAAAGTGGTGATTAAGGGACAAATCAAAAAGATATGTCAGAACGAATGTAATAAAGGGAGTAAGGGAATATATCTGTTTAAAAATAAACCTTTGGTTGGGAGTGCAGGTTCTAGTGGATGAACTAGAAAAGAGGAGATGATTATGACAAGACTAAGGAATGGCCATACTGGTCTGAACAGTATTCTATGTTATTAGAAAGCATAATAATGGAAAGTGTGAATTTTGTGGAGAAGAAGAAACTGGGGATCATGTTTTGTTGTCCTGTCAGAGGTACGAGTCAGCGAGAGAAGTTTTGAAAAAAGGTCTAAGAGAGATGGGAGAGGAGAATATCATTAATGTACTAAAGAAAAGCTTTAGTGAAAAATGTTGGAACACCGGTCACAGACCACGCCGGCCGGTGTTGCCGGCGCGGCAGGCGCGACCGGTCTCTGACTGCCCGCCGACTGCGGCGGACTGCGGTTGTGGAGCTCCGTTTCCCTGCGAACGTGTTTGTTGATCTGTAGATCCACTCGAGTCTCTCCAAAAGTTTTCAAAAGCACCGTAGTGTCCTGCTGTGCTATGGCGTCCTCAGGTTAGCATAGTATAGCTCCAAACACCAAGATGCTCAGTTAAAATGAAACACATTCCCAGCCATAAAATGTGCAACGCTGTCAGCCAGGAACACAGTTCATACAAATCCTTTTCCTGGCTGAGTCAGCCGTTGAGTGTTAAGAAAACAAAGCTAGGTAAAAAAATGTATAAACTACACCAAGAAAAACCCTAACAATTTTATAATTTCTTCCATATCTTTCAATTTGAATTCTTACTACTCCAACTAAGTTCTGCCAGCTTCCTTAAATTTCACATTAGTCACGTGCTCGCCCACTGACCAATCACAGCGCACGTTAATGCTGACGTCCTTAGCAGGCTACCTCGGTGCCACAGCTGAAAACTGAGCTGCAGTAATGCTTACTAGTTGTAGGCCAGCTAGCAGTCTCTGGCACGTCAAAGAATACGCCCAACATGTCAAACTAAAGATCTGATTGGCTGAAGACTATCACAATCAACAATATCGTCCCCATTCACTTAAACTGCAAAGTCTACCTAGAGGACCTCGGGCCTCTCTCCTTACATAGAGAAATAGGGGCTGAATCTGATTGGATAAAAGCTCTCCTTAAAACAAGCTGCACTGGAAGCAGCGCTGCAGGCTGGATACAGAGCAACAGAGGAAGACAGGAGCTGTGCAATGAGAAAATAAGCTAATGGGGAAAAAATGATAATACATGTAGTGTATTTGTGAAAAATTATTCAATTATAAAATAGCTATGACTTTGTGATTCTGTTTAGGCCAGCAGAGAGGGCTTAGCTGGCCCTAACCACCACTGTTTAAAAGACCTCCGTGAAGGCTGCTCTTGTGTATCCCCGCTCCTCAGAGCAGAAATAAAAGCTTTGAGACGACCTTCAAGATGGCGGACCACAACGATAATTCCTCCGGCCAAAGCTGGTGCTGGCATGGAGGCATAACAATGAAAATATATGGCACATGTGCTGGTCTGATTGTTATTGTTTGTGGACATTATGTGGACTGGGATGAGAAAGTGTCTCTTTTTTACATTTATGTTGTTAACCTTTATTCTTTTGGATTTAGAGATTTAAAGTGACTCGCTACTCCCTCACGGTATACAAGTGCCTTTCCTTGCCCAAGCGCCAAATCACTGTGAGCAGTCCAAGAGCTAGTGGGTCAAAGAGGTAGTGGGCTAAAGCTGCGTCACCTGTGTTAGCAACGAGATGAATGATTCATCGCAGCATCATCAGCAGCTCTCGCTGGTTTTGGGACACTGACCGAGCTGCTGTAGTCTCCATTTCAGTGTTCATTTGAATTGATCCCCAAATCTCAAGCCTCACAGTGGACTCATGTGCTTTTACTTCTCATTTGTTCTTTGAGAGTTTTACCCAGCAAACACATCAACTGTATCCTTCCATTATGTGTTTATCTAGAGGCCTGTCAGACCTGATGACACCTCCTCCTCCTCCCTCTTGTTCCACCTCGTCGCCCCTGTCCCTCCTCTCAGTCCTTGGGGTCCGGTACACTGCCAGCTGTCGTGCCATCACACATGGAGCCCAGCGGCCAAACGGCATTTGCAGGTTTCATCTCCAGAAGCTTACGCAGTACATCCATCAAGTTCAAAGTGGAATTATTTTTTTTAATTTACCTTTCTTTATGCTTTTTGGTATTCTACTTTACTGAAAGGATTTCTCAGAGTTTCAACATAAACATGTCTTCATTTATGGGCAGTTCAAAAGAGGGGAAA